AACCTCAACGTTCTTTTTATCGTCTTTTCCAGCCGTTCTGGAAAAGAAAAAAATATGTAAGTGCATGTCGAAATAAACTCGTACGCGCTTTAAGACACAAAATGGGCGAAAAAGTGTAAATAACGTAAAAGCAAATTTCACAAAATGTTTTTTTGTTTTTTTTAATATACATATTAGCCAAATAATAAGTATATACAAATATAAACATATAAAAATTGATTCTTTTAAATATTATATATAATGCCATGGAAAATCGAGATGAAACGAAGTGTTGACTAGTGTATTACGTGTGATAGTCGTTTAAATGTTCTGGAAATCTTACTCTTCTTCCAGGACGCGTTGTTTTAAGTTTATTTTCAGATACTGTCGAAGTATCATTGAGCGTGTTGGTTGTCTGATGAAGTATTATAATTGTCGGAGTCGTGTCGATCGATCGTCCCGAAGGAAGATCGACGTCGATAGAATTTCCTTCTAAATACTCTGCTTCAAGGCGATCGATGCTGATGCTATCGTTTGTTCCGTTCTTATCGATTATATAGTACTTAGGTCCGCGTTGAAGAACTTTGAAAGGTCCCTTGTATGCTGATCCGAAAGGTCGTAGATTCAAGTCTCGACGAACTATATCGTAAGTCAGGTTGAACGGAAACATCAGTTGATTGCGGTCACGTGGAAACAATTCTAACTGAACGCATTGCGTTTGTAAGCCTGTTCGTGTAGGAGGTTAGATCCATGTTCATTGGAGAGGATGAAGGATCCATGAATTCTTCTGGAAGTCGAAGTGTCATTCCATAAACGAGTTGAGCCGCAGTGTATCCAATGTCAGCTTTTACTGCATTGCGAATACCCAGTAAGACGAGTGGAAGAGCGTCAGTCCACTGTGAAATGTTTGCAGCTGATAGTGAAGCTTTTAGTTGCCGGTGAAAGCGTTCTACCAACCCGTTTGCTTGTGGGTGGTAGGCCGTCATTCGGAAGTGAGTGATTCCCAATATTGTGGTCAAACAACGGAAAAGTCCAGATTCGAACTGGCGTCCGCGATCTGCATTGATGGTTGAAGGGCAGCCAAAGTTTGCTACCCAACTTTTTAAGGCACAGCTTAAGGATTGTTGACGATAGCTCATAATGAAGTCAGTGTCTTCTTTTGGAAGCTGGGCGAGTCTAAGGTCGATTTCTTGAAAACTGTTCACGGAAGTCATGGGAGACAAAGCGTCTACGACTACATTGTTTGTTACAGAAATGTGTTGAATGTCTAAAGTAAACTGAGAAATGTAGTTCAGTTTGTCGAGACTCGCGGGGTGAGTACTTGTCTGAAGAGCTCAAAGAAAAGGTAAGCGGTTTATGGTCAGTGGGAAGAGTGAATTCACGACCTTCGATATAGTGTTGAAAATGCCGTACAGCACAGTACATAGCTAGGAGTTCCCTACCGAATGTGCTGTACCTCGATTCGGTGTCTAGCAACCGTCTAGAGGAAAATGCCAAAGGTTGCCAAGAGTTGTTGACCCATTGTTGTAAGACTCTTCCGATTGCTGAGTTGGATGCGTCTACTGTGATACTAATGGGTGCTTCAGTGTCCTGACGAGCAAGCATTGTTGCCTGAGAGATAAATTCCTTAACTTTGGAGAATGCTTTTAGCGCGGTGTCGTTCAAATTGATGGATTTCGCATTTCCACGAAGTTAGTCGCTAAGAGGTTTCATAAGTAATGCGCATTTGGGTATGAAACGTCTATAGAAACTTACCAGGCCGTTGAACGTGCGCAATTGCTTGACGGTGGTCGGTTCTGGGTAATCCAGAATGGCCGCCACTTTAGTTCTAAGGGGTCGGATACCTTGAGCATCGATAGTGTGTCCTAGGAAATCTAACGAGTCGGTTCCGAATTGGCATTTCTGAACGTTTACAGTAATGCCATGTTTTTGTAGTCGTTCGAAAACAAGATCCAGATGCTTGAGATGTGTTTCTCTGTCCGGACTTGCGATTAGACAGCCGTCAACATACGCGTGTACGATGTTGAGAGCTCGAAAGACGTCGTCTATGAATCTTTGGAATGTTTGAGCAGCGTTCCTTAGACCGAAAGGCATTCGCAAAAATTCATAGAGTCCGAAAGGAGTTATGATAGCCGTTTTCCGTATGTCGTCAGTAGCCATAGGGATTTGGTTATACGCTTTAACCAAGTCGATTTTCGAAAAGACAGTTGTACCTTTCAAGGTAGCTGTCAAATCGTGAATGTGAGGCAACGGGTAACGATCGGGAATGGTTTTCGCGTTCAGTCGCCGATAGTCACCAGTTGGACGACAGTCGTTGCTGTTTTTTTAAGGACCATGTGCAACGGAGATGCATGTGGGCTATTTGACGGTCGTATGATTCCTAAGTCTATCATGTGGTCGAACTCGGTTTTCGCCAACCTCAGCTTTTCAGGGGCTAGTTGTCGTGCTTTAGAGAATACAGGTGGTCCTGTAGTCGTGATGTGAGGTGTAACGTTGCTGGTCACATACGGCAATTTCGGTTGCGTTTGATGAATCCCAGGATACTTATCGAATAGTGGTTGATAAATTGGGTCTATCGTATGCTTAATTGTCACTGGGGATAATCCGCAACCAGTAAAAGAAGTTACGCAAACAGATAAATTAGTGTTTCCGCCTACTAGCCTCCGTTTGCGAGTATCGATGTGTAGATTATGGTGTTGTAGAAGGTCTATAACAATGATTGGCATGGAAACATCTGCAACAACGAAGATCCAGTGAATGGGTTTGCGTAAACCCACGTTAAGGTAAACGCACCTTTTGCCATACGTAGCGATAGGTTTTCCGTTTGCCGCCTGTAAGTTTAAAACCGATTCGTGAAGCCGGTCGTTAGGATTCTCTGGGAAAACGCTAACTTCTACGCCAGTGTCGACGAGGTAGCGAACTATCGTTGTCACATATGTGACGTATAACAGACAGCTATGTTCGCCGGCTACGGTTGCCGTTAACGCGTGCTAGCTTGGAAGTTTCCCGAGTTGTTTTTCGTATCGGTCGGCTTTGAGTTTGGAAAATTGCAGGGTTTTCTGCAAATTCTGGAAGACTTTCCATACTGGTTATGATGAAGACACCACTCGGGATTATCCGTCTCTCGTGGTCTAGAGAAAGGGCGTCTACTTGAAATGCCTCTACATGGAGTGTTTGATCGCTTACGGTCGTTACGAAATTTAAGACAACACGTAAGTGTATGACACAACTCTGTTATATCATTCTGGGTCGTTTGAGGCTTTTCTTTCACTGAAAAAACCTCGGTATTAGAAGATTTGGTGATTTCTAAGATGCGGTCGGCAGATGCAGCCAGCTCGTCTAAGGCGTTGTTGTGAAACGAAACAACCACAGCTTGCACCTGTTGAGGAAGTTTGGACAAGAAAAGTTGTTTGAATAGGCCATCATCAAAGGTTCTTTGGCCTATAACCTCTCTCATTCGTTGCGACGCGTTCGTCACAGAACCGTGTTGCAGGTCAATGTTATTGAGGAGTTGGTCTGACCTTTGTCTATCGGTTAGGTCTCCGCGTTTAAGAATAGAACGTTTCAGCGTTTCGTAAGGTTCAGAAACATAACTAATAAACATACTGTTACGTACTTGTAGAATTCGCGCAGTAGTGCTTTGACTACTGCGAGGAAGTTTGCACGTGTGTCATTAACACCGTGTTCGGAGAAGTCAGCATCTGTGTAGCGAAACCAGGCTTCGATGTTGTCTGGCCAGAAATGCATCATTTGAAACAAAGGTGGGGACAAAGTCTTAAGCTTGAGTACTTTAGGTGTCTGTTCAGTCATGATGAAATATGAGGTACGAGAATGAACGAGGGAAAAAAATATATGTCCAAAAACACGAAAAAGAAATGTCACAATATTTAGAAAATTAAGATAAGGCAATGATACATAGAATCCCAAAAAGGAACAGACTCAGTTTGCGATTTGGTGTTCCAGACCACGTTGGGCTCACCAATGAAGCTGCAGCACGTATGCGGAGTTTGATAACGCTTTAACCAGTAACACCTTCTATATGAAGCGTACCCACCAAGTGAAATCAAAAGACAGAAACGAGGAGGTTTGAAGATATATTTGATATGCTACCAATATATCGAGAATCGTCTGATCTAATCTGGCTCGCGATTGCAGGGGTTGTTGAGCACGGAGTTCCCAATCGTCATCTGATGCAGATACATAACTGAACGCCTTTGGCTAGGTGAGTCCATTAAAACATGCGGTCAGCATCCAATGTCGAAAACTTACAGAGCTATTTATTTTGGAGATTTATTTACCGCTACAATACCATTGTCCTTTATAAAATGTGGTGCTAAAAGGAGGAAGAGACTCATGGATAGTCGCTTGGTGTACCATATAGCACGTCGTTTCACTATCGAAGACGCCACAGATATTTAGGGCTTGATAACGTTTTATCTATAATTACAATATGATCGAGGATTTCAAATGCTGTCGAACCTGAATTTAGGAATGAAATTCTAAGATGTATTTAGAAGGCCATCGATGTACTCAGGAGTACACGAGGTCGGCTGGATAGCGAAAAATGAGTTTCACAGCGTAAATAATTAAGATATGGTGTGGATGCTTGGTCAAGCGCCTTTACAGTGTGCTCAGATGAATTATTGAGGTAAACCTGAATGTTGAAGACCTACAGGAATATTTGTTTTAGTAGTTTTTTAATGCCACAGACGAAAAAGGAAGCTAGGGTGTAGGTACTTTTTATGAGTAGCTAAATCCTGGAACTCGCTACTATCGGAGGGTCTAGATAAATTCCCAGGTGTACATCAGAATATTTTTCACATTTTTAAGCACTAAGAACAGTACTTCTCTTTTTTGTTAATACACATAGGTTGCCGTCTAAAAGCTAACAGTTTTGGGGGCTTGTTAAGCAAAAGCTTCTTCTTTTACATTCACAACCATGTTGAACATTTGTACCATTTGGATATTGAATTACCTGCGTTTAAACCTCAACCTTGAACAATTTTGCGGTTGTTGATCAGATGAGTCTATTCGATGATCTCCCTGAGCCAAGTGTGGAAAGCAATGATCTACGTAAGTACCCATTCTCCAGTCACAGAATTATTTATTTCCAAGAGAAACCTGAAATATTGGGAGGAGACTCCAGTTGGGATGAGTCGGAATCTGTTGTTAGTATGTTGTTTGCGAGAAAAACTGAATTATTCGTTTCAAGAACTTACTCCATATCTTTGTTCTGTTGTCGCCAGAAAAGGTGAGAGACCGGAAATGCAGGATTCCCATATTGTGGTCGACAACTTGGTAGAGCTAATGTATCGAGGAGTCTCCAATGAAATGTAATCGTATTGACTTCAGTTTTAAGTTTTATTTTTCAGAGCTAGAGTGTGCTATTTCGCTATTTTCGATGGACATGGAGGAGCTAAAGCAGCTAATTTTGCTTGCAAGCGTTTACATCAACATATAGCCATGCGATTTCCTCGAGGTGATAATTTTCTGATTGATTATTTGATGTTGAGGTCATTCAATTATTAATTTAAGAATACTATGTGTTAAAATAAAACTTAAGGAAATATTTTTCTGTTAGGATTAAGATTTTGGTCGCCGAAACCTATTAATCGAGATGCAATCAACAGATGAATGCAACGATATGTGACCGGGTGATTGCTACTGGAGATCGTATAACTGACTTAGGAACCCTCAATGATTAGAACTCCAAAACAAAAACCATTAGTCAGATGAATAGTCCTCTATATCGTAGGATTGCGTGCTTATATATAGGATATAAAAACAAAATAAATATGGGAAAATTCCATGGGGGATTAGAGGAAATTAGCTTGTGTCACCAATCACTTAAGACCTTACTTTTAGTTCTAGTCTTTGGGAACTGCATCATTAGCAAATGATGCTAAGGATGGTAGTAGGTAAGAAAGACTTCTCGACCTTGAGTATGCGGACGATATTGTCTTACTGTGCGATAATGCCCCAGGCATGCAATCCGCACTTAATCAGTTGGCAATCAATGTCCGTAGGTATGGTATGTGCTTTGCACCTTCGAAGTGCAAAGTACTTCTACAAGACTGGCAGGATTCTAATCCTGTACTCACCCTGGATGGTGAGCAGATAGACGTAGTTGAGAAGTTCGTGTATCTGGGTAGCTGCATAAGTGCTGGTGGGGGTGTGAGTGATGAGATCAATGCACGAATAGTGAAAGCCAGAGCGGCTTATGCCAATCTGGGCCACCTTTGGCGCCTTCGTGATGTTAGTCTGGCTGTAAAAGGCCGGATCTACAACGCGTCGGTGAGAGCAGTTTTGCTCTATGCTTGTGAAACCTGGCCTCTCCGAGTTGAGGACGTTAGACGACTCTCTGTGTTCGATCATCGCTGTCTCCGAAGGATTGCTGACATTCAGTGGCAACACCATGTCAGTAATGCAGAGGTTCGGCATCGTGTGTTCGGGCACAGAGATGATAACTCAATTGGTGTCACCATCTTGAAACACCGACTTCGGTGGCTTGGACATGTTCTCCGAATGTCGTCCCAGAGAATTCCACGTCGTGCATTATTTGCCGACTCTGGGACTGGTTGGAAGAAGCGGAGAGGTGGTCAGTGCATGACATGGTGTCGTGGCATGAAAGAAAGCTGCAAAGGACTGGCTTGTGTTGGTCCTTCACGACTCCCTGGTTGGGGTCTGAGAGATGGTGCAACACAGTGGCTAGAGACGTTATCAGATATGGCTCAGAATAGAAGCCAGTGGCGATCCTGCTGTAACCTTCTTTTACTTTCTTCATAAAAAGTGGTTGTGTCTCCTTTACCTGAAAGATTTCTTCTGATTGTACCTCTTCGTCATTACTCTCTTTTTCTTTTGCGTTCCTTAGTTTTTTTTTTCTTTCTACTTCTCTTCGAATTCCCATTGTTTTGTGTGGCGCATATATATTGGCGCTCTCTTGTACCAATATTTATGTGTTCAAATAAATAAATAAATAAATAAATAAATTGTTAAGTTGAAGTAGTCCTCTAAATAAGAAACAGTTGTCATAATACTACTCAATGGTCTTTTTGGTAGGGCTGGCTTGCGGTTATAGTGGTTCTCCTGAGGTGATAGTCCGTCCGAATATCTAGTGATCAAGGATCGATATCAAAATTGAGGGAAAATCTAGTAAAAAAGTGATTTTCAGGTAAAGTGGTAGACTTGGGCTCTTCTTGGGGTGTGTGAAGGATTTCTGCTACCTTCCTTCACCATAGATAAATACTTCTTAAGGAACATGGAGACGAGACTACATTAGCACAGCTTCAGGATCGTAGCTTTTCTGATATAAATCTGTCTTTTGTACTTCGACCAAATGTGCTTCTGTCGAAAATAGTTACTCATAACAGAAATTCCAATGATATGTATAGGCTTTTAGTATAACTGTCTATGATAATTGGAAGTACTTGAATTAACGTAATAAGAATTCCCGAAATACTGCAATTTAAGGATGGTAGAACTAGCTGAACTAACTCACCTAGGTAACATATTCGGTTGTTGTAACTGGTTTGCATGTGGACCGTACATAATACAAGACAGCTTTTCAAACTAAGAAGAATTCGGAATTAAGAATTCAAGTGTGAGACGATCTCGGAGAAAGACGACATTCTTATCTGCTCTCAGTCAAGACGTTTAGAACGATGGGTGGAAAACTTTAGAGAACAGTTTAGCAGGACTTAAGCTACTCTACAACTACCTACCATTCCCAGACGGCGTAAATGGGACATAGAGTTTGGTCCCCTGATTCTAGCTGAAGTCCAAAAGACTAGCTAATCTGAAACGAGGAAGAGCAGATGGTTCAAATGTCTTTAAGGATAGTGGTCCAGTTTTAGCGATTAGGTTGACGAATATTTTAGCCAAAATCTGGGAACTGAACGTAATCTCATCTGACTGGTCGCAGTCACCGATCGTCTCAATATATAAAGTGTCAAAATCATACTTTGATAATTATAGAGGTTAGTTTAACTAATATAACATCTAAAATACTAGCCTCAATAATTATCGGGCGCCTAACAAAGATTCGTGAACTGCAAACACTAGAAAATCAGGTTGGCTTCATACCTGATCATGGCTGCATCGACCACATATTCACCATTCGTCAGATTCTAGAATACAGACATGCTTATCGGCGTCCGACAATAATAATTTTTCTTGACTTAAAAGCAGCATTTGACTCTATAGTCCGAGAGGTTTTGTGACAGTGTCAGTCACTTCTAACCGAATTTAACCAAATATATAAGAATTAAAGTTTATCTGCAAATGATAGTCCCCACATATCCGAGCGTTCCTCTTCTGGATTTTGTAAACTAAAATATGACTACAGTTCACAACATATAGATGTTGAATTAATTGAATGAAAGCTATATACATAGTAAGTTTATCTTTTCAGTTGTAGTAGGTTGTTTTTAAAGTGGTTTTTGCAATCGTTTCGTGAAAATGAATCCGAGTCTTGAAATGTATCACCTTTATATTTAAGGTTTCATGTTGTTTATTACTCTATTTGGAAATATCAGTCATTAAACGTTATTCTTTTTTCCTCCTGAACAGGTGGGATGCAACAGGTAGAAAAGGATATTAAGCGTGTGTTATACGACTCTTATAAGAAAACAGATGAGGAATTTTTGAGAGAGGCTTGCCAGCAGTAGGAATCCAACCATTGTGTTTCATTCACCTTTTTTGCGCCCCTTTCTATTTTTCCAGGCGCCCTCACTGGAGAGATGGTAGTACATCAGCAACAATCCTATTGGTCAATAACACACTATACATTGCAAATCTTGGTGACTCTAAAGTAATTCATGTTTATTTCGCTTTAATGTTGTGTTTGATACTTTGTTGTGATATTGTTTACTTTTTATGGTTAATGTGTTATCTGTCAACCACCAGGGACTTCAGTGCTCAGACAGTGTTTCAAGTAACATTTAGAGTGTTGCGGTTTATTTCTAATTGTTCCTTTTATGTCAGTCAGTCAGCTACAACGTAGGACCAGGCACATATATGCATCGGTCCAAGTTGCCATACCTCATTAACACAACAAGATGGACACCGGATTCATAACAGTAGTTAATTCAGTGGTGGTAATATATAAAAGAAAGATTGCAATAAGGATATAGTACAAGAAGAAAGAATTAGTTCCTAGAAAGAAAGATATGAAGAGATTTTAATCTCTTAGTTTAAGGTAAGACAGAGAGTGTATACACCGACGCCATTGTGATCGATTCTGAGCCATGTCACCAAAAGTCTCCAATGTTTCTTTTATGAGGAGCAATCATTTATGTATATATGAAACGATTTACAATCTCCTGTGTATTTGTTCCCATCACTGTCAGGACTCCACCAAGATGGTGTACACTGAAGGAGATAACTTGGACCACTGGTCAATCATATAACGGACCGATACAGTGTGTTTCCTCTCACTTCTCTTCCATGTAACCTAACTTCGTCTTGCATCACGTCAAAGTAAATAGTTGCTCCTTACTATGTATAAAGCGAAATACGATTTTAACGCTAACTATTGGATCATAAAATTTTTTATGAGATACCGTTTATTCAGTTGTATATATTATGAGTTATGGTAATATTCACATGTAAGCGACATTATGTTTTCCTACTGATCTACGTTTCGAGCAAATGTGTTTTTTACTGTAACAATACTACTTTTGGGGATTACGTCATCAAATATTTATCGGATGCATAGATTTTATGCAGATTTGTTCTACAGTTTGTATCAGTTGGAATGTTTGCTTGTGTGAATAATCGTAAATGCTTCCTTATCTCAACTTCGATATGCTAACAAAAATAACCAGGTAGTCAATACAATGAATTGTGATACGATTGTGTCTGTTTTTCGTTTATTTCACGAATCTATTGGCAGTCAAGGAGTTTTATTTGTTGCTAAATAACCCGAGAACAAAGTTCTGAGTTTACTGTAAACGCTCTTATCATTAAAATGAATAGGTCGCTTTTACATAAATAATGGTAATGATAGGATATGGATAACTTGTTGCTATTCACTTGGTCAAATTATTGACATAAGCCTTAAATTTACTTACCCCTTAGCAATTTGCTCTCGTTTTCCACTGGTTACGTTATCTCCCAGTGATATTTAATCATATTTCCCAAAGTCACTTACATACTGTATAAAGATGCGTTGCGCAATGCCATTTTCCTTTGTTGAGAAAATTAAGGCCCTTTTGTAAAAAACCAGTTTTTTTCCTATTCTTCGTTTCTTGTTTGATCACACTACTGGGCCTGTGTAATTCACAAAATTAGTGCCTGATCTTTAAGTTAGGGGCAGGCCAGATTGAATGTACAGTTTTCTTATATTAATGTGCAAAACAATCCTTTTACCCTCACAAAAATGACCCCCCGGACTTATTATCAAGCTATACTTGGTCACAAAGATATCTTATTGTTTCAGCTTCTCCGGCATGTATGTGATCGTCACATATCGTACGGAAACGTTTCTTATTGGCATAGTCCTTTGAATTTTTTTGTCTGAGTGTGTATTTCATATTACTTTAATATATTCATTCTGTTCGAAGTATAATGTATTCAGTGTGCTATTATTGTAATCAACCTACATTTGCACTGTATTATCTGATTTAGTTAATAACTACAAAGCGAAGCTGGGTTTTTAACAAGCCTTTTCAATGCACAGTTAAATTTACTGTCATATACATACAACGTGTAGAGATACTTTTATTCCGTTTATTTTGCTGGTATTAGGTTGTCCTAGCCAGATTGGTTGAGTCCCCATCTGAATCTAATAACGTTGATGTCAATAGTAGCAATACTTTAAGTAATCCAAAATTGAGTGCAATCTGTTTAACGAAAGATCACAACCCCATGGATTATGAAGAACGGCAGCGTATTCAAGCCACCGGAGCTTCTGTTCAAAATGGTCGTGTTAATAATGTCCTAGAAGTTAGTCGGTCATTTGGTGACTATCAATTTAAGAAACAAGGTGTTACTTGTATCCCGGACGTGAAAAAGTGTCAGCTAACGGATAATGATCAGTAAGTTAAATATCATTATTAATATTAAATTTGTGATAGGTCATAATGAATGAAACAACTCGTGAGATTTCATGTCATGGATAATAATAATAGATGCCGTTTAGAAATTGTTCGTCATTTGATTTGTTGGATTAACAAATTGATATCTTATTGTAATCAAATAAAAACTTCCGAGAAATTACAACAAAGACATTGTATTAGTCACGTCAAAAAACTGACAACCGAACTTCAACTGCATCATTGTACGTGCATAAAAAATAATTTAGGTCCCTGAGATCAGCTAGAGAAATCTTATTAAATAGTGTTTTGCCATCAAAATCTAAGTTCGTTATTGCCAGGCTTAAATCAAAAAGATCTGATAATCCCGTAGAACTGAAAAATCTACAGATTAAATCGGTAATAACAGTAAATGATATATTTGATAACCACCAAATCGATATTAAAATCATCAAAATAATTGAAAAAGGTTTTTCCAACTATGAAGAAAGGCGAGTAGCTGCGGCGTTTCATCTAATGCTACATCCCTCTGCCTTCAATAAAAAGAGAAGCATGACTTGAACTGTTTATCCAAACAGCCACATTTGATTCTATTCATTCCTGACACAAAAATTCAATTTTACTTATAACAAATTTCACACTTTTCACACCCATCGTGTACACAACTATAAAAAGTGATGTCTCACACAAATTCATCTTGACTGAAAAGACATGACGCTGACATAATCAGACTTATCTTTATTTTGACTGAACTGAATATTCTGCCTTGATCCTCTCTACTATTTAAACATGCCAGTTTCAATCCAGTTATTTGTTAAAAATTCAGATTTTACCTGGTATATCAGCAATATATCATTATTTTATTTATACAATTGGTTCCTTTTACGAAACTGATGGGTTGTGTGTCGCTTATAAACGATTTGAAATGTTTGCTTGAGTTTCAGACCACTTAACAATAAATTCAAAAGATAGAGGGATGAGGTAGTAATTGTCTAGAGTTCGACATTGATAAGTTGGGTTGCCTTATAACTATACAAGATTTTAAAAATTTCCATAAGTTTGGAGAATTGAATGTGGGAAAAAGCAGACTAATGAAAGGATGGCTTTAACATACATGAAATAACTTCTGGTTTAGCAAAGATTGCATAAAAACTACACACAATAAAATAATGATGGTAGCACTAACAGCAGTTGTCGTTGATATACGTCAAAATCGTGGACTTACTAAGGTAATGGTAAATTGGTTGCCGTTGTGGTTTGTGTCACCGATGTCGATAGAAGGTTAAGAAGATCAAAGAAAAGAGGACGAGAACAGTAGGTGATTGCTGTCGAAATAAAAGAACAGTGAAGTCTGAGACGATTGATTGACATTTGCAAATGGGACAGTTGAGTTTGAAACAGTTCATTAACATTTTGCCAATTAAGGATTTAGTGTATGGTTCTCAGATTTTACTAAGATGTTCTGTAATTTTGTATTCAAATACTTTCGATTGTCCCCACTTGTATTCCCGCTCACTACACTCTTTCTGGATACAAATCTGGTTTCAATTTTTCAATTACCACTGCTTCGCTGAACCTAAGAGAAATTACATCTTTTTTATTTATAATTTTGAAGAATTTGGAAACGTCAGTGACACTCCAAGTAACAATTAAATTGAGAGCTTTTGCACTGTTTAAAGCCATTGCACCTCTCAACCGCAAATTCGTTATCACATGTTCGGGAGTGCAAACATTATTTCATTGTCAGTAAATAAAATGGGATAACATATTAATGCCTGTGAAAGTCTGCGAATCTTTGCATAAAGTATTTGCTTTTACACAGACACAGGCAACATAATTGTATTCTGTTATAAGTCGAAGCAGATCATTGAAATTCTAATTTGAGATATTCTAATCGATAATCCTATTTTGCATCACAGTTGCAACAAGTTTCTTTATCTTGCACAGTGAGACTGCCCTTTATGAATTGTGTTACCTTTAAAATATGCTTTAGTTTTCATGTTCACTGACCATGAAACTTATCTCAACTTATAAAAGTTGCGCCCAATATTGTTTTTCTACGGAGAAACGTGGGAAATCTTATCTATGGGCTTTTACAATGTTTCATACTGTTTCGAAGACTTAAGTCAATATGTTATTATTGATCAGGTGAAAATTTGTAAAAACAAATTTTATTCTTTAGTTGTGAGTAATTTATATTCAAAATTCTTAGTGTTTAAAAAATTTCTTAGATTCCTGTTAATAGCTTGTGATGGTCTGTGGAAAAGTTTCCCTCCGAATGAAGCTGTTCATCTCACTCATGAACTTTTGATGCAAGAGATTAAAAAGTATGAAAATGAACACAGGGAATCACAAAATGGTCAAGTAAGTCAAGTCGCTTTTGATTTATGATTACCATCACATGTATCTTACTTAATTACTGCATTAAGTGTTAGTCTCCAAAAATGTCTATCACTTCTTGCAAACGTTTATTAAGGTGAAAAACCAACAGACGTTTTGTTAGTTTGTTTTCTTTTAAGCACAATGGTTTATATTTTTCAGTGTTTCAAATTTCAGCTAGTCACTCATAAAACTGTCACGAATACTCCCATCATATCTAATCACAATGTTTCTTGTTTATTTCAAGATGAAATGTTATTTCGTGGTGTAAAGATATTAAACATAATGAGGTCTAAGGGTGGGACTTACAAGCGTTCAAAAAAGCTACATTGCTCAGGTGCGCTTAGAAATGTTATTTGTGACTGATACAATAAAAATGACTTTTCTATATTTCGTACACTTCAGTAAAGATGGCAGTCATTTAAAAAAAGTTTGCCTCAACTGGATTTAATGTAACCTATTTATCAAGTATGAGTTTGTGGACTCACCTTTGCGTCATGCATTACTAAGGGTTAGTGATACTACCTGGCCCCTTAAACTGAAGTAGATGGAGCAGAGTTTGAACCTGGAGGGTTGCTATTGAGAGTCTATTGTGTTAGTGAATAAGTTATTATTTTAGTGACATTGCCTGAGCTACATCTAAATTCTTTTATTTATTCACAAATACCGTTGTAATTGTTTCAGGATGCTTCATTGTAATCTTTTTTTCTCAAAAAATTGTAGTGTACTGATTATTCTCAGATTTTGTGTCAACGGCACCTGGACTCAGTGTGCACGCATTTGGTTAGTGAAGCTGTTCTTCGTATGTCTGGTGATAATGTGACCTGCATTTTGTTGGTTTTTCCAACCATGTTTGTCAAAAAGCATCATTCTACTGATCTCCCAGGACATCCGTCTATCAGTCAGGAAGAAGATTCTTTAGAGCCGCGTTCCAAATTGCCACGGATTGAAAAGTGATGTGAACTAAGATCTCAGAATTTATTTCTCAAATTTGCATTGTCGTGATTCCACAAATGCTTTTCTTGCAGTACTTTATTACTATCGAAATTTATAATCTTTCTTTGTATGTGTCATGTTTATTGTTTTATGCAAATAAAGCTTTCATGAAGTATATCTTATACCTTATTCATTATGAAATTATTGATCCTTTCCATGTCAGGTGCTCATTGTTGATTTTTTTGGTTATTGTAACAGGAGAATACTTTGGTAGCAACATATCTGAGTGAAGATGTCAAATATCCAGATTTCTATTTCAAGTAGTATTATCTTGATTATTATTATTATCTTGTTTAGCTATCTTCTGAAAAACCAACTGTGTATTTTTGACTCTTGGATTACTAAAAACTGGCCAGCATGTTTTTCATGGCGTTCCCCTGATGGACTGATTGACTTAAAAAAAATATTCGAAAATGTTCCAGGTAGATCATAATCAGTGTGATATTTTCAGACGAGAAATTATGTGTTTCTGATTGTTCTGTAATCGAATTCAACACACATCCTGTTCGTGAAGTCACTGTTGAAGAATTTATTTCGTATTGGACTGATAAAGCTCAAGGAAAAGATGATCGCATTCTATATTTGAAAGATTGGCATTACTTTAAAAAGAGTTCAGAAAACAGTTGGTTCACGTTACCTGAATATTTTTCTTCTGATTGGTTAAATGAATTTTGGAGCCTACGAAATGATCTCTCTGATGATTTCAAATTTTTATATTTAGGGAGTCGTGGAACGTGGACACCTTTACACGCTGATGTGTACCGTTCTTTCAGTTGGTCTGCCAATATACTTGGCCACAAGCGTTGGTGGATTTTTCCTCCTGGTTGGTCTCTTAAAATAAACTTTTCGTCTTGTTTAAAGGCGTTATTGTTTATGTACCAAACTAAAGTCCCTGACAAAAATCTCATGAGTTTTAGATCTTTAAATACGAATATATGGTTCAAATAATGGTTTCAAACTGGATATCAACATATATTATATACCAGCCATATTCTTGGTTCGGTTGAGATCTTAGATGGTTAGTTGAATGGTACAGTACTGTGTAGTATTACTAGAAAACCTTCAAACGGTTCTCTTCCAATTCTGCGTGTATGCAGAGTAGATGTGAGATTGATTACTTTCGATAACTAATATTTTTATTGCACTCTGTATAGGTCAGGAGGGTTTCGACACCGTTTACTTTGAAGGCATGCGTTCGCAAATTTACGGAAAGAGGTTAAATAAGTATCTAATACTAGTATAGGAGTTGTGGAGATTATTAAGTTTTTGGTTGAGATCATGTGCTCACTAGTGACTAGCTTCGTGAGGGAATTCTCGGAGTTCTAGTGAGAAGCCGTGATCAGTGGAGCTAATCCATGTCGGGCAGAGACAGGTATCTACCTTAGTACAATGGAAGTTGGTCGCGCAATTTCGTGGATTGGTTAATGTTAGACACTATCACCGTTGGATGCCGGCTCAGTGGTTCAGTTGGTTGTGCGTTCGCGCGCGAGACCGAAGGCCCTGGGTTCGAATCCCGCTAGCGGGATCGTGGATGCGCACTGATGGGGAGTCCCGCGATAGGACGAAACGGCCGTCCAGTGCTTCCAGGTTTCCAAAGGTGTTGGTCTAACATCAATCGGTCCATGATCTTAATAAAAAATATCTAATGGTTTCTCGTTTGAATTATTTAGATCAAACTTGTTTGATATGTAGAAATCCTTGAGGATATAAATCGTTGTTAAAAGGGAATCGGTGTTTGTAGACACGTAGCAATATGTTTTGAAGCCGATTCTCATCTTAAGGTTTTTGCATTTTGTTTTTGTCTACTCCTGTTAACTTATATTTCGAATTTTGTGATAATGATTAGATTCAGTGCATAACTGTACATGGATTGTTTTTCTTCTGTTTAAGGTGAAGAAAGAAAGCTCTTATCATCCAACGGACAAATTCCTTTTGATATACGCTCCATTATAAAAGACAGGACAGATGTGAAGTATTATTTAGTCGACCAATATTCTGGACAAGTGGTTTTTGTACCTTCTGGATGGTATCATCAGGTTATAAATATGGTAATAATAAATATTTTCTCTTGATAACCATAATATTAGGGCCATCTTGAAGGGTCTAGAATTCTTAATCCATACTTGCTAGTGAATGATCTCATCCATTATTTTCCTTATAAATATATGCTTTCTGTGTAAAGACTAAATTAATAAATAAAAATATTAATTTTCTGTTATATGTTCGGATATTTCTAAATGAACGCCCTATAAAGTCAATTGGAAGATAGGACAGTAGAACAACCTAATTTTTCAATCAATAGAAACCTTACGAATTGCGCAATTTTACGAGCACATTTAAGATGTTTTCGAACTCTATTTTCCACTTCATCAATGCAGAACGTTACTCCAGAATTAGTGTACATTCGGGTATAGTTTAAGACAAGAGAGATATTTGTTTCGGTTCGTAATCTACTTTACTTACTTTGACTGTAGTGTTGTGTAGTGCGCTTTGTATTCTCAAACAGTACGTTTAATCGAAGTCCCTGATGTTTATCATGAATTATTCATTTTAACAAAATCAAATCAAATAATTAGTTGTTTTTCTGAGCTATCTTCAAACACAACTCTACTTTTCGTTCATAATGAATAAGTATGTTGCCATATCGAAGTACTTCCGCAGTTCTGTTTCATTTTTTTGTGTTTATTCTTTGTAATCATCTTTATGCAACAGCTGATAAAGTGTAGTTGACTTTTTTTATGCATATACAGACTGATTGTATATCCATAAACCATAATTGGTTCAATGCTACAAATGTAAGTCATGTTTGGGATCATTTACAAGATCAATTGAAAGCTGTTGAAGTGTCAACTAAAGACGTATCTTCTATTCCTGGATGGAATGAAGAGTGTCAGGTAAATATCTTTGATTAATTTAATACTTAACAAAATGTCTACTTTTATTATACAACCGCCTGCTTTGTCATCTTGACTTTGAGTTACTTCATCTTTTCAGACGCAAGCTTACCAACCACGTATAGGGCCATAGGTCACACTTGTTTATATGGCCTGACATTGTTATTTGTATGTCAAGCTGCTTTAGTAAAAGGGTTAAAGTTAAACAACTAAAGCTAGATGAATCAATAATTACGAAATATAAAAGTCTGCAAGCAAAATTAGCACATAATCAAGTGATACATTTTTTTATATGAAAAGAAGCCTGTTTGATTATAGTTGTTGTTAGAAGATAATTTCATTTCTGATAAATATATGCATATCCAACAGGTTTGTGGAAATTGTAGCTATTATCTCCATAAATTAATTACTTTGGCAATACTATAGCTTATAACATCAGAATAATAAAAGTCTTTTTGATAGCATATAAGTTAAAAAACTTAGCTGCCTGATGCCTTCAGTAAAACAAACTGATAGATGAATGACACTAGTTAGAAATTTTAATATGATATAGGATTAAACAAGACATGCACTTTTACTGACGAAAACTACATTTCTTGTATTGAAGAATGTAATATTGACAGTAACCAAACAGTATGATAAAGTTAGTCATCAAGAAAAGATTTTCTTTTTATGTCGTCTTATAAGGAGCACTATTTCATTGGAGAGATTCCTCTCAGATACTATTATTCCAACTTCCTAGTTAGTCATAAACGATGGAGTTTTATCAGGAGTTGGAACTTAGTCATGATTCTGATCGATCAGTTGAAATGTCAAATTTTCAAGAATATTATCTTATAACCATTTTCTTTTCACTGATGAATTTGAGTAGCTTCTATTAGTTTGATCTCTTAAAGATATTTAAGTAATACTATGGCAATACTCGTTGGTTTTAACTGACTAAAATTTGATGAAAACAGTTTTTTTGTTATCATTAATGGGGTTTTCAATTTATGGTATTGCGTAATGTTCTTATTACCCTCTGCTTCCTTTTTTTAAACAAAGACTTGTCTACGAGCATACGCAGGAATAAATTTCGAAGAGTTCTTTTCAATGTTGAAGTATATTTTAATAACTCGTTGGCCAAGAAGTAGTTCTAATGATGACGATGGTGTTAGTTCATTTCTGAAAAAGTGCAAATCCATGCAGTATACATCATTGGACGTGCTCAATAATGCTATGGATTATGAACTAACTAGTTTGATTGAAACAAATTTAAAAATATTTCAAACTGCTTTAAAAAATCCTCTCCTTTGGAGAAAGTATTACACAACAGACGTTAAGACATCTACTTGGATACGTATGCATGATTTTTGTATGGTAATACAAATTATCAAGGAATTTGTTCATCATGAAACTGTTAATACTCTACATCTTTGTAATGGTGTTTTACAATCATTTTGGAGTAGTCTTTAATTATATGTATATATAAAAAGGCGGATTTCAACATTTGCCAATATTTTCAGATTTCATTTATCATGTATTTATCGCGTATTGTTCATTTAATACTTTTTGTTGCTTTGGTCACTGTAATATTTTCAACAGCTTATGTGGATTTACTTATTGTGAAATAAATTAAATTCCTTCTATCTGATGAACGAATGCACGTTGTTTTTCATTATCCAACATCATCAATATTGGCTAATTTATTGCTTGTTTCCGGTCTTACATACTGAGGGAAATCGCTTATAAGTGTGATTATTATTTGTCTAGTATCCAGGATTTCCACAAACCTAAGAGTGCAGCCCTGGCGATTTCCTGTGTAGGTATATCCATACACGTAAATTGGCACATGCAATTTTATCATAAACAAGGTTATTTTGAGGTCCACCACATGTGTAAGGGGTTGTCAACATTTCCGAGTTGCCTACAGTAATAGGGAACTTCAGGTAATTATAAAGGAAACCGGGTTGGTGATGGTTTTGACGATTTAATATGGAATATGGCGTAATTATTTTTACGATGCTTGACCCTATATGGAATATCAGGTTTCATTTTCTCAATAACGAGCAACTTGCCAACGTATTATCTTGGACGGTTTTTCGACCTCATTCACAATCTCGATTAGTTAACTCTTTGTGTAACGGTGTGATGTGCGTCCTTTTTTCGGGCGAATAAAGAAGGGCTTTAAATGTTTCCTGACTTGTACTTCAGTAGGTGCACATCTCTAGTGTTATCACCGTAACATACATTTTATAATTTTGGATAAACATCGCACTAAGTCATTTTAATATTTCAAAGAACAAAAGTTACGAGGAGTTGGGTATCGTTTTGTGTAAGTAGGTTTCCTGTAAATTGGTCTTTTTATTATGACTTTTACTCTTGTCAATTATCACGTGACAAAATCGCCAGTCAGAATACTGACTTGTATGACTTTGTTACCGTGCCAAACGAATAGCGAGGTGTCAAATGGTATAGACGTTTTCAATGAACGTACCAAGTAGTTTAAGTGATATTTGTGTGAATTTTTCCTGCTTGCCGTATCTATGTCTCAAGAACATAAAGCGAAACAAGGTTATTCTGCTCACCTGACAGTCATTAATTGGTTTATTCCAAAATGGCTAAACACTAATTAGAACAATCTACGGATTTCTGCAGCATTATAGAGCACAGGTTCATTTATAGATGGGTTGATGTACCTGGTCCATTCCCCTTGCAGTCTTTGCAAAATTTATTGCGTCAAACCTTAAATGTCGTTTCGCGCTTCTGAGTTCCGAAATATTAGGTTATTTTGGGATTTTCATTAGTCCTGTTTAGATAAATGTACGTTCCTTCTGATTCCATATTTCTTGTTTGCAAACAACTTACAATAATTTTTTAGCGGCTGCTAATTACAGCCAAAATGTTAGGACCGAATAATTTTTGTTGTGTGTGTTGCAAAACGACAAAGAATATATTCTGAACAATTGATATCGACCAATATCTCGTTCATTCACTATAGAGGGATTATTTTAAGCAACATGGTATCTAAAATACTAGCCTCAATAATTATCGGGCGCCTAACAAAGACTCGTGAACTGCAAACACTAGAAAATCAGGTTGGCTTCATACCTGGTCGTGGCTGCATCGACCACATATTCACCATTCGTCAGGTTCTAGAATACGGACATGCTTATCGGCGTCCGACAATAATAATTTTTCTTGACTTAAAAGCAGCATTTGACTCTATAGTCCGAGAGGTTTTGTGACAGTGTCAGTCACTTCTAACCGAATTTAACCAAATATATAAGAATTAAAGTTTATCTGCAAATGATAGTCCCCACATATCCGAGCGTTCCTCTTCTGGATTTTGTAAACTAAAATATGACTACAGTTCACAACATATAGATGTTGAATTAATTGAGACTTGCTCTCGGATTTCATATCGGCGTATGATAATTTCCCAAACTGTCTTAATAAATGGTTGCGCCAACAAATTTTTTTCTTGTAGATTCTTTATTTGTCTTGCGATCTGGATGTTCAGTGGTATAGTAGGTTGGAAGAAAGCTAGGGGCGGCCAGACCAAAACATGGCACAAATCCATGAAGTCACTGACAAGTGGACTGAGTCATGTTGGTAGGTGTAGACTACCTGGTTGGGGACCGCGAGATGATAGCAACCGATGGTTAGAGACCCTGAATGACATGTCTCAAAATCGTTTGCAATGGCGCAGGTGTATCCACTCTCTGTGTTCTCCCAAATTCTAATCTTTTGAATTCTTCATGTCCCTTTTTTCCTCTTTCCAAATTTATTTCACTGGATTATACTCTTTAAATAACATCTCCAAACCATAATCTTCCTGACTACTACTTATACTCTTATTACCTCTACCTCTACGGGATTTGAATCAACAACTGCATCTCTGTGCTAAGATGTGGCAACTCGAACTGATGTACGTACGTACGAAGTTCTACGTTGTTACTGACTGACTGACTGATCTGGAAATATGACTCCTAGTGTTGCCGTTAAACACGGTGTTTAACTCTTTAAACCACTGTTCCTGCGTTTGAGGGTGATTCACTTAGTAACTCCAAGTTTTCTAACCGTCTTTGTCATTATTAAAAATTTACAAACAGTCTATGTTTTTAAGCGAAACGCGAAATTTTGAGTTTGATCGGAGTGTAAGTTGCCGACTTAAAATTAAGAATTAACATCGTTTCAAAATTCAAAAATTAACTGGGTTTATGATGTATTCAACTCCATAATTCATGGTAGTCCTTCATGTAAATTGACGATAATACTTGATCATTTAATTCATGGAAAACCATCTACAAGTCGTCTTTCACGATATGGATTTCAAGAATAATTACTGTATCAATAATTTGCTTAAAGCAAGTTATTGTGTAGTGAACGAGAACACAAGTGGGTGGACAATGAAATGTATTTGTACACAAAATTACAGAACACCTTACTAAAATCTGAGAACCATACAGTAAATAATTGATATGCAAAATATCGATCAATTATTTTAAACTTGAGTGTTTCTTTGCAAATGTCAATAATTCATCCCATATTTCACTGTTCCTTCATTTTCATACCAAACACTTTCTGTTCCCGTTCTTTCCCTCTCAGTCTTCTGCTGCCAGTTATTCTATTCCTGATTCGCATTATATACTACTTATTTCGATATAAGTAGCATACACACACCACAACTGTCCTATTAAATATACTTCATGTAACTCAGATATATTGAATTTTTCACAATTCAGCTTTTTCAATTAAAACTAATCATCAATGAATATTTACAGATTATTGCTTATCAGTTGTCAGCTATTACCATTCCATTAATTTGTTTGCCAGAATCATACTACTAACAGAATTTAGGTAGTATAAAACCAAAGTTATAATGATTAAGTTCTGATTTATTTACTTATTACATTAAAACGCTCATTAGTTTCTTGTTAATTTTCTGTTTCTATTATATTACTTTGATAAAGAAAATAATCATACTATAAATGAATAATTGAAATGAAACATTTATGTTATATGTAATTTATGTAAATTATTGTTATATATTCGGGCGTTTTACTTTAATTTTAATTTTTCATACTGTTAAGGTAGATTCATTTATGTTAGTCTGTAAAATATACAAACTAATATTTATCAATGCGATCGCCCATTTTTGTTTTCTTTTGTTGTTTTTTTTTAAAAATGAAAAGAATCTTTAAAGTTTGTGTATTAAATTATTTTACAGGATAGATTGAATAGAATTCTATCTTTGATGTATTTCTTAAAACTAATAAATATTCAGGTTTATTTTCTTTTCAGAAAAATTTCTCTTTTAATAATTGAAAACAAAATAGATGTTGTTTACAGGTGATCATGATCGTTATTGAAATAATAATAATAATAATGGTAATAATCTTTTAAAATCATTTATTGATTTATGACAGAAAATATATGATCACTTCCTAATTGTTGAACTACTACTATCATCTTCGTAATGGATATTAGAAGTTTCATAGATTTTGATTATTCCTTCATTTTTATCAATATTATGTTCGGGTCTTGGGAGTTTGCTGTTACGGTGTCTGCTACTGCTACTATTATTATTAGTAGTGATATTAGTCGGAGTTGGTGATACAGTAGGTATAATACGTGAGGTATTTGATATGTTTATATTTTTCATTGCTTTATTTGTACTAGCTATATGGTATTGATCATGGGATCGTGATGATGACGATGGTATTAATGCTGATGATAGGGTCTCGTTTGGAACAGATGATCGCGGGGGTGATGATGATGATGATGATAATTTGAATGTTGAACAGGATGATTTCTCTTCGATATTGTCTGGATATTTTGAATGTGATAGTTTTATTTCTTCAGTATTATTATCACTCTGTCTAGAATTTCTTCTAAAGTTATAATTTATTTGTGTAAATCTTGGAAATGTTTTTTCAGAATGCTTATTACAAATTTTATTCTGAAAACTATCTAATTTATTTTCATTTGCCAATGAATTGTATGATGTTGATACAATCGGATTACTAATATCATTATTATTAGTAGTTTCTAATTCATTTAATAATTTTTCATTATTCACTATTAGATATTTATTTTTAATTAATGAAACGAGTTCTTCTTTTAATCCAATTTTGATTTCATTCTTAAATTGATACCAATCATCTATATATAATCCTTTGATTGTATTTATTTTATTGTGTTTATCAGGTAACCATGAATAATCAAATAATATTTCATTCATTTTTGTTAAATAATTAATATCTTTATCATAATTTAATGAATATTTCTTTTTAGAATCTTTTATTTTAGAATTCATTGAATCTAATATCTGATCAGTAGTATTACTCATTGAACTATAATGTTGTAATGAATGCTTTTTTTGAATATTGACTGATAATGGTAATTCAATTTCAGATTTTGGTAGTGTTTGTTGAATAGAAGTAATTGCATTTTGATAAGGTGATAATGTA